CCTAACCATAACTGCTTACGCAGGTTATGTATTCTTCCCGCTGCAACAGCTGCGATATTCCTTTAGGTACTAACAACCAAAGAAATCATTTTCATGTTTGTTTTTTTTTTCTTTAGAGCATGGTTTTGCGTATCGAATCAACTGAGAGATATAAACCCATGTGTAGGTGTAGAGGATACATTGCTACATAAGTTTGGGAAGTTTGAAAAGTTTAAGTCCTCACATTTATCAAAAAGCTTTTTGTAAGACTACAATTAACTTTGTTCTACTAATTTCTAAGAATGAATCAGATATATCAGACTCTGTGATGTTTTTTTTTTATTTAGCTAACTGATATTTGATATTGAAGATTGTCCTCCCTAAAAGGGATCTATAAGTTTAAGTTTAAGTTTGATCCCTTGTAGAATTACATCCTAGTACTCCTAAAATGCAATAAAATTAATGAGCCTTACAGTGTACGAACAAAGACAATGTTGTCAATATTCAAGATTATATTCCGTAAACAAAATTAGATGATCTGCTGTTCAAATTTTCCCAGTTTTAATATAAAGTCTCTTTCCATTAAGGTTCCCAGTACAAGAAGAGTTGGTTATCAAAATGTCACAGGTGTTTTCGAAGACATTTTGAAATTGAAGAATGAAGCATTGTCATGATTTTTGACACATTCTGCGTCGATCATTTAAGTTTTAAGCAAAAGATTGGTTTTTCTTGGTACCCAATTTCTTTATCTTGTATTGTAATACAATGATGTAGTGATGAAAGGAAATATATTATGACATGGTGGATAATCAATCGCATAATGTTTGGTTAGTAAAGATTAATTAATTGATTGAACGTCATCATTGTATATTATTCAGAAATATGTGTAGAAATCTATTACAAGAGGTCTATGGGTCACATCGCTCACCTGAGCACATGGGTTAGTTTAAAAAACACAAATCAGATGTGTATTGAAAGGTTTACTTGTTGGGGGAGGGGGGATTTGAATTTTTTAATACTTGAAATACATAAAACATACATGCATAATTTTGCCATACTTGAGAACAAGAGTTTTAAAAATTTTCTTAATTTTTTTTTTATGTAAAGATTCGATTCCCAAGGGATAATGATATGAACAAACTTGAATTAACTCTAACTGATATCACCAATCATAGCTTTTCTGATCTTGAGAAGAAGATTTTAAAAAAGATTTCTTCCTATGTATTCCTATGTATCCTATGTAAAACTTTGATCAGCCATTGTGGCCCCGCCCTATCTTTAGGGGTCCTGATTTGAACAAAATTAAATCTACACTACCTCAGAATGCTTTCACATGAGTTTCATTTTTGCTTGCCCAATGGTTTTGGAGAAAAAAATTTTAAAAGATTTTTCCTATACATTCCTATGTAAAAATTTGATCAGTGATTGTGGCCCCGCCCTACCCCTGGGGGGTCATGATTTGAACAAACTTGAATCTACTCTTCCTGAGGATGCTTCCACATGAGTTTCATTTTTCCTGATCCAGTGGTTCTGGAGAAGAAATTTTTTAAAAGATGCCATTAATTTTTCATTAAGTCATAACTATCTCATTTTGAAAGAGGGTTTGGCCCTTCATTTGAACAAACTTGAATCCCCTTTACCCAAGGATACTTTGTGGAAAGTTTGGTTAAAATTGGCCCAGTGGTTCTTGAGATGAAGATGGAAATATGAAAAATTTCACGACGACAACAACGACAATGACAGACAACGGACAAATTTTAATCAGAAAAGCTCACTTGAGCCTTTGAGCTAAAAATCAGTCGAATGTTATTATTTGTTATTTTCTAAACGTTATGTTGTAATTTAGTTTTCATTTCTTTCACAGCCTTTTATTACCTCACTTAAAATTCTAGCTAGATACAAATATTACAAAAATAAATTGATTTTAGATGCAGTCATTCGTGGTGCTGAGATAAGATGTCGTAAGTATAAATGTGATTATTTTTACTTTTATTTTTACCTGCAGAACTTGACTTTAATGAGTTATGAACTAAGTAGATTTCTCTTTATGACGGACCGACGAACAAACAGAAAGACGTGATTTTGATGTAATCTAATGATCATTAAAGATCATTTTTTAATAAAGTGAACAGAGGTGTAATATTCATGCTTTTTATTATAGTACTAGTAGTTTAATTCACGAAATGAATGATGAATCTGATGTAGAACCATGTCCAGTTGTACAGTACGACGAGGAAGCAGTGACGTATAAATTAGTTTGTGAATGGTATGAGAAAAGGATAAGATTTCAATGCAGAGATGGGTATTCATACCAGTCAGGATCGCACGAGTCAGAATGTTGGGCAGAATTCTCGTCGATATTGCGGGAATGGAGATGGGGATGGACAGGGATGTCAATAAAGTGCATCTGTAAGTAATAGCAGTTTGAAAGCATTCACTTAAAGAAGAAGGTACAGTTTGGGCTTCATTGTGCCCTAAAAATTTAATGTTTTTAAAAGGTAAAGAAATTGGCTTTAACAATACTTGAGTAGATGAATATGATAAATTATTAACGAATATGGCATAAAGGAGGACCATTCTAGAAATATGACGTTACTAACTTGGTACATTTCTAAGTTTTATGCAGAAAAGCTTTAGAATGACTCATTTCTGTGCTTATTTTTATTTAGAAATTAGTGTCTGCCACCGTCGCCCGCTTCAATTTTTGGTTATATTATGTAAACTGCTTTAAATAATCATATATCTCAAAATCTTTGTGGGCGACGGTGGTAGAGTATGTTTTATGGAAGAAATTCCACTGAAAACTGATGTCTTCTGCAACTTGTTGGGAAAATATTGGGAAAATGCACAAATCCAAACACATGTTCCTTTTGCTGTCCATATGAGTGAAAATTTTTGAGAGGGACAACAAACAAACAAAAACCATTCATTTCCCCCATATCTTGCAAAATAATCATTGTTAGAATTCCGTTTTCATTAATTATCCTATTCTATCAGATAGAACAACTTGTTCTTTGCTTTATAAATCATTTATAAAGTCATCATTTCGTAAGTTCTATGGTCGATACAATGACCTTGTCAGCAAATACAATTTATCATTGAGTCAAATGCTGACTGATGTTTTTCATACTAATTGTTAGTCCATTGTTTATACACTAAATTGATAATGGTTTTTCCGTTTTATCCCGATCATGAAAAGAAGCACACGGCGGGTGTGACAGGTCAACAGGGGATGCTCATTCCTCCATGGCACCTGATCCCACCTCTGATGTTTTGGAGGTCCGTGTTTGCTCTCCTCCTCTTTTGTATTGTTTTATGGACTTTTTGTCTTGAATACTGCTTGTTATGTCCCTATGTTTCATCATAACAACCTTTGTCCTAGAAGAATAGTGAAATACTAAGCAATATGTCATTTTCCTAGGGCTATGATATTTTTGTGGAATGAAGAGACAACGAATTTGCGTCCTTTACAAGATCCGATATATATACCGGGTATATATATACTGAAAGGAAAAAGAAACGCAGGGTAGCATAATATTCGGTATGTTCTTGACTGCATAACCGAAAATTTCGACTGGTCAGATGAGAATGTTAGTTACTATTCACAAAAATCGATGTTCAGAATTACTCAATCGTAAAATGTATGACGTTCGTCATGTAGGTAAAACGCTAAAAAACAAAACATGTGCAAATTGATGATGACAAGTTTGTCAATAAATCGTATTGTTCCATTTGATGCACCTGAGGTATACACATTGTTTTTTAATATTTACAGACGATATGAATTTCTTTTAATCATGGTACAATTTACGAAAGTTCCTTGGGGTCTGATTTTCGAATTGCCAAAGTAAGGATAAAGGCAACAACGGGTTACTGAGCAATGCCTTATAAATTTTCCACCATGTAACGTGTTATCCGTTGTTAGAGAGGGCCTGGAATGGTTTCCAAAATTCGTCTTGCCCCTTGTTTAATCGCCACGGCACTTCATCAAAAACCGATGCTAATACAGTAGACTATCCTAATCATCACATTCACCCCAAAACTGAAAGAAACCAATTGCGCAATTAGGATTTTTTTAGCCGGTCAACTTTACGTGTTTGTTCCTCTCACTGGCGCATGCGCGCGTCGTTTGACTTATTTTTCGGCGTGGTTACCCATGTCAAATATAGCCAGAGTTTAAAAGATAAACATTCTGATGAATTCCATGCAAAGGAGAATCAAGTCTGTGACCGATGCGCGGGGGAGACCCTGGAGATAGTGAGAGCTTTCGATTTTGTCAATTTCATATCGTCATATGAGTTTCAATATCATCATGATTACAAGACAAAATCAAATGAGATTTTGGATACATTTCTTTCAAATGATTTTAAAAGTAAGATAGAAATACTGAAAATGATAAAAAGGAAAATAAATTTTATTCGCCTCAAAAGTTTACCTTGCGTTTCTTTTTTCCTTTCGGTATATAACAGATTTTCATTTCCTCAACGGAGAAATCAAATCCCAGCAAAACAATTATTATTCCAGCCTTTTCTGTACAAAAATATATTATTTTATTAGCATTCAAACAATTTTTAACTAAGTATAAAATCAATATTAATTCAATATAAATCATAAATTTAAGTTTTTTTTTTCTTGTGTTCGACAGATCTCTAACCGTAGTTTTTGATCGGTATATTGTTTTATAGCAAAGTTTATGTATTGAGCTTTCGTTTCACAGCTACGAAGACGAGCATCACAACCACGACGACTGCAACCATCGTGGATGTTAATATTCCTACCGGAAGTCCTACTATGACGGCTACAACCATCACGGATGCTAGAATTCCTACCGGAAGTCCTACAACGATGGATTTATCTGTCCCTCAAACTACAACCTTGTCTATCACGGATGCTAGAATTCCTACCGGAAGTCCTACAACGATGGATTTACCTGTCCCTCAAACTACAACTATCACTATCACGGATGCTAGAATTCCTACCGGAAGTCCTACAACGATGGATTTACCTGTCCCTCAGACTACCACCATCTCTATTACGAATGTTACAATTCCTACCGGAAGTCCTACTACGATGGATTTATCTGTTCCTCAAACTGTACAGTATCCTTCCTCCACGGTTAAAAGTTCAACAAACGACCTCAAAACAACTTCAGCCAGATCTTGTACTGGAGAAATTCTTCTTTCAAAGATGTATACGTTAAATGCAGTTCCACTTCTGAAGTCTTTTGATCCAAACACCACATTCAAAACAGATGACAGGGTTTTGTATGAATGTGCAAATGGTTACAGGTTTATAAATGGAACTTTGGAACACGTATGTGGAAATGACGGTTCTTGGAAGGGGGCCTTACCTTATTGTAAAAGTACGTTATCGTCTATACATATCAAACAAATATAAAAAGAATGCCATATTAATTTAAATATTTATATATTTGAAACTTTCTTTAAATAATTGTACATTTCTTCGTATAATTGAACCTATCTCTAAAAGAATTGAAGATAGGCACAATCGAATTAAAGATAGGTACAATTGAATCAAAGATAGGTCTAAATGATAAACCTATCATTAAATAATTAAACCTAGGTTCAAATGAATTACACCTATCTTTAATGCAGTAACACCTATCTTTAATTCAGTTAAAGATATATTAAAGTGAATTATACCTATTATGAATTCATTTACAGATAGGTTCAATTGAATTGTACCTATCTTGAATTCTTTATACTCTTTAAAGATAGGTTCAATTGAATTATACCTATCTTTAAGTCATTTCAATTTTGCCTTCAATTCATTTCAAGATAGGTTCAATTGATTTAAAGGTAGGCACAGTTGATCTGAAGATAGGTAGAAACTGAACATATCCACAGAGGTTTTTTGAAACTAGCTACGTTTCACTTATACCAAGTATAAACTCTTTTTGAGAAGTAGTTGTTATTGTCAGTATCTTTTTTGTTATTAAATATAGATTCAATTCAATTGCACCTATCTTAAATCAATTGTACCTATCTTTAACATGCCTAGTAAACTCACTTAAAGAAATTGTTTGAGAAGTAGTTGTTATTAGCAGTATCAAAATTTTCACGAAGTGTGTTATTATAATAAAGGAATTCAATTCAATTGCACCTATCTTAAATCAATTGTACCTATCTTTAATCCATAGTATTTATGCCTATCTTCAAATCAATTGTACATATCTTCAAATCAATTGCACCTATCTTCTAATGAATTAAAGATAGGTATAACTGAATCAAACCTATATTTGAATTTAAAGAAAGGTACAAGTGATTTGAAAATAGGTACACTTAATTGAAAATAAGTTGAAAGATTTGAATATATGTTAATTTGGCCTTCCATATATATAAAAGAGATTTTAAATGTAATAGCTTCAAGGAACCTAAATTAAAAGAAAATGAAGTTATCGATTTTAATATTCATTGGTATGATTTATTGAATTGGGAAATTAAAATTTAAATAAGTGTTATATTAACTTAATGCCAGGTTTACCAAAAACTGAACCATGGGGAGGTTTACAATGTGTTAAGAAATGCATACAATGCATTGTACAAGAATTCCCTCATCATATTTCCTTCTTGTTAAAACAACCCATTAATCTTTTAGGATGCAGATGTCCATGTAGCAGAATGAAGAACCAGGTTATCATAAAAACACAAGAAGAACTTCAAAATAAAATAAACGTCATGACAGGACAGCTTAAAGTGAAGACGTCAGATTTAACCAGTGTGAAGAGTAGGAAAACTTCGGCTCCTGATCCTCGCCCCTCCTCAAAAGCTGTGGGTTCTCTACTTGGGATAGGAATCCTTGTATTCATTTTTGCCGTGATAATCATTTCAGATTTTCCTCTATTATATAGACATATCAAATATGGACTTTAGGCACGGGAGGTAAATTCAAAAAAAAAAAAATTGTGTGAGGACCGTTGACTGATGAATATTTTATTAATACTAAGTGTGTTTGGATATTGTCTTTTAACCACGGATATTGGAGTCAAACAATGATTTCAATAATCATAGGCAAAAATTAGATTTTTCGAGTTCTAAATAAACTTGAGCGTCATGTGTAAATTAATGACAAGAAAATATTTTTATTTCATTTATTAATTAAAACTAGTTGCAATACATCAGAACATTTATTTTTTTTTAGATTATCTGGTATTTTTTTCAAGAAAGAGTGGTTGGTGTGTACATGTATTCTAGTTGCTTATACTTTATACTAGTTTGAAATTTTATTTCATATATTATTCATGTGGCGTTTGAATTGTTATTATGTTTAGGTCACAATTATTTTTAATTGAGATACCAGCATTCGTTGCCATAGGGATTAGAAGTCGTAGTATAAAATTAAAGGATGCCTTTATTGTACTGTAAATGCATTCATTCTTTTCTGCTCCTGGCTATTTAGCAATAAAGTAAGTGTAAAAAGCATGGCAGACAGTGATTACTGTTCTTATTTTAAAAATTGTGTCAGGGGTTCTGATGTTAGGATGGGGTTCCGTTGATCGTAAAATGATGTATATATATTTTTTTAAATTCTTTTCCTCTGTTCATAGGCGTCTAGCAGGCTAGTCAAATACAAGTGTACATGGAATTTATAAAGGGTCTTTATTTAAGAGTGTTTATTATATTCAGGTGACCTTAAGGACCATAGGGCCTCTTGTATATTTGAAGTTTCTGTTTTCCCATTTCCATTAATTTGTTGTTTTTTATTCATTATGTCAATTTCATTATACCTAAATTTCGTCATGTATTCATTTGTTGTTTTTATGCCCCTGGAACGAAAGATCCAAAAGGTATTTTGTTTTTGTCCTGTCTGTCTGTTTGTATGTCTGTTGTCAACTTTAACCTAGCGCATATCTATTGCGCTGTCAAGGGTAAGTGTATACCACTTCAGTCTACGTCCCATTCCAGAACTGTGTTACCATCGGGGGCATAGTGTTTCACAAAACATATAGGTTTTTTTATGCGCCTTGAATGATAGATCCGGGACGTTTATTGTTTTATCCTGTCTGTCTTTTTGTCTGTTTATATGTTTGTCTGTCTGTTGTCAACTTTAACCTTCACCATAACTTTTGAACCATGAGAGATGGAGACATAATATTGAAAATGCATACACCACTAATTAAGTTCTTTCAAAGGACACCAAGGCCAATGACCTTGACTGTGACCTAAATGCTAAAAATAGCTTTTTCGAACTTTTAAACCATAAGAGATAGATACTTCATATTTGGTATACATACTTCACTTATTTAGATCTTTCAAATGACATCAAGGTCAATGACCATGTGACCTTGACTGTGACCTATATGCTAAAAATAGCTTTTTCGAACTTTGTTGTCGCCGGACGCATAGTGTTTCACAAACACATAATGTTTTTTCAATGATTTACCGGGATATAATGTTTTTAATAACATTAATGATTATTTGTCAAAATTTGATAAATTTATTTCCTTTCCGAAGTAAAATTATCGTAACAGGATACTCCGGGTTTGTTTAGGCTTAATCTTTGGTCGTATATTTTAGAAATCAACGTATCTCGTACATTTTTCAACTTTTTGGAGACGCGGAAAATGAAAAACCTTGGTGTATTTTGTTTTATTTTATTCGTTTTATGTAAGTATGATAACAAATATTTCTGAAATTTATATCATTCTTAAAATTCATTATTTTTTAGCATATTATGATGATTATGCCCATAGAATCGAAAAATTCATAAAGGTATGTTATAACTGTTGTTTTGCTTCTCAAATCACCAAATAGAAGACATGCAGACTGAATAAATGAATGCCTTTCAAACAGTAATTGTAAAAATTGAAGGATTTTTATGCTCCCGTAAACAAAGTTTCGGGGGTATGTAGTTTTTGCCCTGTCCATCCATCTGTCTGTCTGTTTGTCCGCAAAAACTTTAACCTCGCCTCGCCCATAACTTTTGAGTGGGTGAGGCAATGGCTTTCATATTTCACAGGTGTATTCCTTGTGACAAGACCTTTCTTTGGGTACCACCTCTTGGCCTTGACATTGGAGTTTGATACAAGTTTACACCAAAGAACTTTATTTAATTCTTAAATAGGGGGGTATATGCTGACTTCAATGCACTGAATATTTTCATAAGTAATTACGTCATATGTACGAAATGACGTCACAAACATGACTTAAATTTCAGTTTTTTATGAATTCTGCAGAAAAATGTAAATATTTCGTCGATATTTTGAGTAATAATCACCGAGCGCATGTGTGTTCAGGTTCAATATTTTTAAATAATGTGTAGAATGATAATATCAATGAAATATGTAAATATTGTTCCTGAACAAACTTGCTTTCTATTAATTTCAAAGCTAAAATTGTTGAGATTTTGTCCATTTTGTCCTCTTTCTGAAAAAGGATACAAAATCGGACTAGTTTGTGACGTCTTAAAAACAAAAATTGTGAATAAACTACTTTGAAACAATAATATGTTCTGTTAATTTATATTTCTCATACAATTTATTGAATTTAGCACATTTCAGGAAGTTTTCAAAATCTGACTTTTGTGGGGGGCAAATATATGCAATACACCGCATATAGTTCTTTTCAAATATTTACTTTGGTAACAACTTTTGAATGTTGGTGCTAGGACTTTCAGACTTCATACACATTTGCATTAGATACTCTAAACTTTGACCTTTTTACCTTGACCTTGGAGATTGACCTACTTTTAAAAAACTTCAACTTTAGCCATAACTTTTGAATGGTAAGGGCTAGTGCTTTCATCCTTCACATACTGGGTATGTAATCCTTGTGAGAAGACCTTTTGATACCAACAACCCTTTGACCTTGACCTTGGAGATTGGCCTACTGTTTAAAAAGTTTAACCTTTTCAATAACTATTGAACGGTTAGGGCTAGGGTTTTCATACCTCCCATATGTAACCTTTCTGTCAAAGCCTTTCTTCAGAAACCAACAACCTTGACCCTTTAACCTTGGCTGCGGGAAGGAGGACATATATGTGACGTCATTAATTTTATTCCGTAATATGTAAAGTAATTTCAGTAAAAGAAAATTTTGTTAACCTTGTTCTTTATCTTATTTTTTTAATTACAAATTACACTGCATTTTAATGTAATTTCATTTTTGAAAGTTTAAAGAGAAATATAATTCATGTATGTTTTTGACATTTTCGTCCGCATGTAAAAGAAGTTTTACTATCTGTAACCAACACTGTTTTTTATTTTGATTTATTCCACCTGTCCATACCGAGGAAATAATGGTCGATTTTGAAATTATTACATAATGTGGCATTTGAAAGGTAGTGCTAGGGTTTTATATTTCACATTTTTATTTCGCTGGCTGAAAGAATAGTCTTACTTAATTGAAATTTATATATTATAATATTAAATTTGAAGTTTTTGGGTCGAAACAATCGATTAATGAAAGTTGAAAGTTAAAAAAAATATATTATAATAAACATGTTTGATTTACATTAAAATTGAGAAAGCTATTAAAATCCATATTCACTACCTCAAAAATAGTTTTACTAGGTACGTGTATTGGGTATATTTTACTAGTAAGATAACATTAGTGAATTGAGAATTCATAAGCAACTTTCACTAGGCCGGTATCTAAATATCAATACGACCCTAGCTCCACAACTCACTTTCTTAACTGAAAGCTTGCAATTTACGACAAATGATTTAGTATGTTCACTAGTTAAATTCACTAGGTTTTTGTCTTAGCGAATACCTTTTTGCAATTTAGTTCTAACATAAATACCGGTAATATATGTATCTGTAAACCTAAATTAAGGATCTTATAGTCAATTTTGTTGAGGAAAAATCATAATTGTATATGATAAAAGATATTAAATTAAAATTTTTACTAAATGAAATTACAGAACACACGTTACAGAGTATATAATTTAGAAATATTTCAAAAAAATGTACAATATTCAATTTTTATTCATTTACACATTTTTTCCAAGAATTGATAAAAAGTGCTTCTAAAAATTATCTTGATTTTTAATTTAAATAGGAAACTGACAGCGGAAATGATGTTTCAATTTTTAGAAGTATCATATCTCAGTTCAGCAAACCAACACCTTGCACTCATTTAAACCCAACTTTTATGAACAGGAATAATTAATAGATTATCTGTACCTCAATTTAAAAGCTTTATCAACTTTCTTGGAAGAAGAAACAAGTCGCTTTAAAGATCTGAACAGGTTTTATTTTCGCAACATGACCCCAGACTGGATTCAAGTAGGTTTCTCCATTGCAATGACTGATATAAATGCGATACCTACATTACTATTTCGTCTAACTAAAAAAATCTTAAATATCGGAGTTAGCATCGTACTCTTTACGCATTAGTTTTAGAAGATCCTGAAAAGGAATACAATGTAGTCCCCTGTTTTTTTTTATGAGTACAGCTGTATATATTGTATTTTTGGTTTTGTAAATTTTCCTGTTCAGGTCATATTTTGTTGTCGTAAGGTCAATGTAAATTTCAAGACATTGACATTTTTTTTGCTAAATTGTCAGATTTAAAAACCCTCATTTTATTGCAATGTAAACTTCTGAAGTAATTGCTATATCACTAACAAAACCACACAAAGTTTTATGTATTGTCAATATTTATGCTTTCAAAATTTACGTACCCCCTCCCCCAAACCAATTCTTCTATAGAATTTAATTTAGATTCAATTTATATACCGGTAGTCAATGTTTCATTGTAAAAATAATTGAATATAGACCTGACAAATACGTAAAATAAATGAATTTTGTTATCATTTGTGTGATACAATTAAAAAAATACTGTTTTGCAATCAGGTGATATGATTTGTAAATACATGTTTTTGTACATATACGACCCCGGGGGATGCGGGGGATTTAATCGGTGTATGGTTATTGTTCGCCCTCCTGTGTCCTTAACATGGATGTTTATTATTTCGACTTTTTCCAATTTTTGATAAACCCTGAACACACAATTGAACATCGTGTAAACAAAGATGTACGATCTTGTGATATATTCTGTAAAATATCAATATACTTCAGGGAACTTTCATCTGCAACAATAACACGGTTTAATATAAGTTTTAAACTGGATCTTTTTCCAATGCATATATTTTCTGT